GGTTCACCCCCCACCTCCTGGGGTCCACCCATCTGCTCCTGGGGTCCATCCTCCAGCTCCTGGGGTTCACCCCCAGCCTCCTGGAGTTCACCCCTCAAATCCCGGGGTTCACCCCCCAACTCCCATGCCTCCGATGCTGAGGCCCCCACTGCCCTCCGAGGGCCCTGGGAACATTCCGCCCCCTCCCCCAGCCAACTAAAAAGCCGCCCCTTCTCCAGGCCAGTTCGCCGTCTTGTCCTGTTTCTCTCCAAGCTATGTGCTTTTGTGCAGGGTTGTGCCATGTGTCCGGCGGTCATTAAACGGTCTCCCCTGATGCCCGAAGTGACCTGCTGTGTGGGGGAATGGGGGGGGGGTGGGGGAGGCTCTGTGGGTCAGTAGGTGTGGTAGCTTCACTCGCTGCTGGTGAACACCCACATGCACCCCCACCATATATGTGGGGAGCTTGGGGTTGGGGCCTCGGTGTCCCTGTGTCCTCCCAGGATGCCGGTGGGTGAAGGACAGACCCAGGCAGTCAGCAGCGGGTCTGGGCTCTCTCCTGCGGCCGCTCCCCCTCCTTGGGGTCTTCAGCCAAATGGCTGTGCTTCTGCAGCTCCAGGGTGCCAAGAGGCAGTGTGAGCGAGCACTTGGGGAGCCCCAGCTTCGCTGGGAGACCACCCTCTGGCCAAGCCCATGCACCCAGCGGTCTGAACACCAAGATCTCTGGTCCCCATCAGAGCCGGGTGCCGGAGGCCTCCAGGGCGCCTGCCCCCCCCGCCCCCATCCCAGAGCTGTTGATCGTCTGCGCTGTCGCTCCCTGGTCTGGTTCCCAGTCCCTCCTGCAGAGGGGAAAACCTCATCAAGGACAGTCGTTGGACCAACTGGGCACGGGCGGCACTCTATCACGGGTAGGAAGATAGGCGGTCAGGCTGGAACAGAAGAGGCTTTGAGAGGCTCCTCTGCCCGCCCAGGCCCACGGTGGGGCACCAGACGTTGGCCCCCAAGGTCACACCCCAGAAGGAGATAGGGGCTTTGCTCCTGCACAAACATCCCGGTCTCCTCCATAGAAGCCAGAGCAACACGGCCCCTCACAGCAGCCGGGATGCCTGGTCTGCTCTCTCCGCCGGCCCTGGTGCTGTCGGTGATGGGGGCTCTGCTGATGGCCGGGGACCCTGGGGAAGAGGTCTCCAGCACCCCGGCCCTGCCTGGAGGGCCAGCCACAGGCACCGGGGGTCTCATCTTCCACCCGGATTGGGACTGGCAGCCCCCGGGCAGTCCCCAAGACCCCCTGTGCCTGGTGACGCTGGACAGGGGTGGTAACGGGAGCGGCTCCCCGCTTCGGGTGGTGGGGGCGCTGAGAGGCTATGAGCTCGCCTTCCTCGAGGCTGTGCGGCGGGCCCGCTGGGGTCCCCACGGCCTGGCCACCTTCGGAGTTTGCGCCCCCAGGGGCAGGCAGGCCGCCCTGTTCTCTCTGCGGCAGCTGCAGGCGTGGCTGGGGGAGCCCGGGGGGCGGCGGCTGGTGGTGCTGCACCTGGAGGAAGGTACGTAGGGAGGGGGCCGCGGCCTGGGCGGTGCCACGCTGCCACCACTCTTTCCAGACCGGGTCCTGCCGGAGCCCAACCCTAGACCCATCTTGGCCTCCTGGGAAGGCTGAGGCTGAGGGCCCGGGAAGTGGGGGCCCTTCGTGTCTGGGGGCTGCAAATCCCCCAATGCTTTGCTTCCAAGCCCACCCTTCCTGCATCCCTCCTGGGAGGTGTTCACCGCCCCCCCACCCCATGAAGGAGCAGAAGGGAGTCGGGGCAGAGCCATGCTCCGCCCACACCCCCCCCCCCCCAAGGGTAGCGTGTGGCCTGTTCCCAGGAGCTGCTGGAGGAAATGGTTTCCCAGGGGACCCTATGGGCTCCCCCCACTAAGGAGAGCCCCAGACAGAGACCCCAGGGGTGCTCCAGGCTCCTCGTATTGGGGCAAGGCCCTGCACCCGATGTCTGGGTGTCAAGCCTCTCCAGGTATGGGTGGGGGCTCTCCCCGCAGGACTGCAAGACGGGCTTCGGGGAGGGGCTGGGG